GATGAAGGCAGCCGCTTCAACCTAACCTAAATACAACAACCATATAGGGGCCGTATGACCCCCTAAGCATCTACCCTTAAGATGCATGTAAGTTGTGCGAACTGACGTACTCAAGGGCGCACTTGCAACACGGAACGCGAAGTAGCACGGAAAAGGAAACGTTGACACACACTCGCACGTAAATACGACAGAACTTATACATATTTACGAGCAACAAGTGCAGGCCCAACAACAACCAGCATATTAAGATCAGCCAATCTAGCCGAGAGCAGGTTAACGCCCGCTGTACTAATCAAAAAGTAATTATATATGCACTCGCAAAAAAATAAGGAGCTGAAAGGAGAGGAGAGCGGACTTATTCTTACCAGCGTGGGAGGTTGCAGTTTCCAGCGGGCTCAATATCAGAGAGCGGATTTGCATGCAGCGGCGCGATCGCCCCAACTGACGCTGAGAGAGAGCGACCAGCAGCCACCACGACCAGTAGTGCAGCCAATCCCAAGATGGTCGGTTCTACGTTACCGGATTGACTCGGAGCACCCACTCCGACCAAGGACCATTACCCCAGCAGCAACCCCCCCATTTTTTCGCACCGGGAGCAAGTCTGCTCGGCATAGAGCACAACCCCGGACCATGGACATGCAGTGTCTGCAACCGAAATTTACACCACTCATCCACCTCAGTCCGTTGCAACAGCTGCAATAACTGGTGTCATCTGAAAGCATGCTCAGGCCTCCGGCACCATAGGGAGTGGAGTGCTAACTTTGTTGCATCGTGCTGCAACAATCCACAGCAAGCCCAGCATTCCACACAAACAGCGCCCGCCCAACCAACAGCCAGTGGACCAACTCCCAGCACACAAGCCCGGACATCCACACAAAGCAGATGGTACTGCAGCGTCTGCCAGAACCTGATAAGGCGAAACACCACATCAGTAAGATGCAACTTGTGCAACAACTGGTGCCACCTGAAACGCTGCTCCGCCCTCATACACCATCGCGAATGGAGTGCTGCTTTCACTGCAGCCTGCTGCGCTGCTACCACACAACTCCAATCGCCTGCACCTACATCTGTGCCAATGCCAACGCCAGCGGCAATCCCACAACCGCGGCCCACGGTCACACCCACACCGGCACCAACACCGGTGACAACACCAGCGGTCGGACCACCACTCCCGCAACAAACACAACAGGCACAGCAAGCAGTTCAGGCAGCGCGCCGGTACTCCCTCACCCCGCGAATTACCATCACCAGGCCCAACTCCATCAAACTATTGCAGTTCAATTGCAACGGACTACAAAGCACGATCGCTGAGATAGTCAGCTGCATGAGGCGCAACAAAATCTCAGTCGCGGCGGTCCAGGAAACCAAACTCCACTCCGGCTCTAGCCTTCAGAGTCAGGATGAGTTCAACGTCATCCGAAGAGGCCGCCCTCGCGGCGCCGGAGGCGGCATCGCCTTTATATTGCACAACGCGATCCAGTACCGGCTCATTACCCCCCGAATCGCCGCCAACGACACACTTATTGAGCATCAAGGCATGGCAATCACGTCGGGAGATACTGAGCTGGAAGTCGTCAACGTGTACATACCACCTGCCACCAGCTGCCCAGCAGGGTATCGCCCGAACATAAGTGCGCTACTTGAAGGCGAAAACCGGGTAGTGCTAGGGGATTTTAACGCGCACCACGAACTCTGATACTCCAACCTGGGCAACGACCAGCGGGGTACACTAATCGCAGAACAAATTGACGACTCAACGTTTTGCACTGTAAACGACGATGCCCCCACCAGGGTCGCGGGTGACTGCTACAGCTCGCCAGATATCACTATAGCAAGCGGGGGTCTGATAAATTGCATTGGTTGGCAACCAGTGCTCACGCTCGCATCAGACCACCTGCCCATAGTAGTCGCGATAGACCACCCAAGAGATTTTGTTACATTCGAAGACCGTACGTATATGAACACCAAGAAGGCCAACTGGGACGGTTTTACGGAACACACAGACCGCAAATTCAATGCTCTTCCACCACCAACATGCGCGGGCGCAACATCCGCCGGATCATCAACGCAGCAGCCGCCCGCTTCATACCAGCCGGTAGGATTGCCAAAATCCGCCCGGGATTTCCAGCTGAAGCGGCGGGACTCGCAGACGAGCGTGATCGAATCCGCCAGTCTAATCCTGGTGATCCCCGTATCAGGGATCTCAACAAGGACATTAACCAACTGGTTAACGAACCCAAGCGGAAAACGTGGAATGAGCACCTTAAGACCTGCAATCTCTCCAGCGGAGCTAGCAAATTGTGGACAACAGTAAAATCTCTCTCCCATGTGGCGAAACGCAAGGACAACGTTGCTCTTACATTCGGCGATACCACCACGTCGGACCCACGGACGTGCGCGTGCTTTTTCAGCCGGCAGTTTATTGCACACCCGGAGAGAGACAAAGCCCGCCGCAGTGTGCTACGTAAAGCGCACAAACTCCGCCCCGAGACACACCAACGTGCTTTACACCAGAAGAGACGCAGGCAGCTGTAAAGAACGCCAAAGCATCCAAGGCGTTAGGCCCCGACGGAATCTCGATGCAGATGCTGAAAAAGCTAGGACCAGTGGGAGTCGAGTACATCACAGCAGCTTTCAATTTGTCACTGTCCACCCTGATCATCCCTGTGGAAAATGGGTAGAATCATCCCCCTCCTTAAGCCAGGTAAGAAGGCGGACGCAGGAGGCTCTTACCGGTCAATCTGCCTCCTATCCCCAGTGGCAAAGACAATGGAAGCACTACTCCTCCCCAGTCTAACGAAGCATCTGAAACTAGCCCAACACCAACACGGATTCCGCAAAATGCACAGCACAACCACTGCATTAAACGCCATCACCACACAGATAAGCGAGGGTCTGAACCAACGTCGACCCTGTGATAGGACGGTCCTAGTCGCGGTGGACCTGTCGAAGGCCTTCGACACGGTAAACCACGCGACCCTTTGCCAAGACGTCCTGGACTCATCGCTTCCGGATCGGACGAAGCGGTGGATAACCAGATATCTGTGTGGACGCCAATCATCGGTCGAATTCCGAAACGCCAAGTCCAAGCCGCGTAGGATTAAACAGGGGGTCCCCCAAGGCGGCGTACTCTCCCCGACACTGTTCAACCTCTACATGGCGAAACTCCCTCCGCCGCCAGCAGGAGTTAACTTGGTGAGCTACGCCGATGATTGCACGATTATGGCGACGAGCCCCAATATTGACAGCCTATGCGGGAAAATCACCGACTATCTCACCGATCTTGCAAATTTCTTCACTGCCAGGAGCCTCACCATCTCCGCCGCGAAATCCACCGCCACACTGTTCACCACCTGGACAAAGGAAGTTAGGCTAGAGCTGGACGTTTACGTCGATGGCAACAAAATACCGACGGTCAACCACCCAAAAATCCTGGGAGTCACGTTCGACAGCCTATTCTCCTTTTCTGCACACGCCTCAGCCACCTGCGAAAGGATGCGAGCTAGGAACAAAGTCCTCAAGTCACTACCCGGCGGCACTTGGGGAGCCGACAAAGAAACCCTACTCACCACGTATAAAGCAATCGGCCGGTCGGTGGCAAACTACGCAGCGCCAGTGTAGACGGCGGGTACCAGCGATACGCAGTGAAGAAACTTACAAACATGCCAGAAACATGTGCAGCTCTACGCACGGCTACAGGCTGCCATCTCATTTCGTCCAAGCATCACCTCCACCAAGAGCCAGATGCTGGCGGTGAAAGAGCACAACACGTTGCTATCGAAGCAGTTCCTCGTGGGATGTTACCGTGGAAATCACTCCAAAAACGCCCTGCTTCGAAATGAACCGCCTACCCGACATGTCTCACGTCACCTGCACGACTGGAAATCCGACGTCAAGCCGTGCGTAGACCACCCATTCGACGCAGAGAAATACAGAGCGGCGCTTAACCACCTACACACCGATGCAGTCAGGTCGAGTCTTAGCACCAGAAACGACAACATCGTTCTAGGTGGTCGACCGCCACCCATCAACATCGACGAAGCCGAACTGCCTAGAGAGACCAGGTGCACCCTAACACAACTCCGTTCTGGGTGGTGCCACAGATTAAACAGCTATCTCTCCCGGCTGAACCCAGAACACCTCTTCGCATGCGTCTCTAACCCCACGACCCTGACACCAGAAGCACTATGGACCGCGCCTATAGACGCTGCCCGCTTTCTCGGCCTCAGGCTTGTCGAGTCAGAGGACGAAGACGACCCTTGACGAAACCCCGGGGGGTTGAGTACTGCTGCTACAACAACAACAACAACCAGTAGTGCAGCCTTCCTGGCTATAGTTTTTCGTTGTTTTTCTTGCTAAATTATTATTTTTTTTCTGTTTGCTTTATGTCTTTTCCCTTTGCTCTTGAATTTATTTTGTTTTGCATTTATTTTAGTTATGTAAAACCAGGGTTGGGCACGCTGCACTAAATCGAGATTTTCACTACCACTAGGGCTTCAGTGGTAGTGCATTTCAAATTTCACTACCACTATATGGTTAGTGGTAGTGCATTTAAAATTTCACTACCACTATATGCGTAGTGGTAGTGCATTTCAAATTTCACTACCACTATATGGTTAGTGGTAGTGCATTTCAAATTTCACTACCACGGTACGGTATGGTTAGTGATTGTGCATTTCAAATTTCACTAGCACTACATAGTGATAGTGAAATAGAATTTTAAGGTAAGGGAACGAAAGTTTCATTATCACTGACTAATTACATTAGTTTACAAATTTAAGAAAAGTTTGCGATATGTGCAATTTTCTTAGTTAGCTAGTTAGTTAGTTAGTTCAAAAATGTATAACCACCAACCATATAGTGGTAGTGAAATTTGCAATGCATTACCACTAAAGTGCACAGTGGTTGTGAAAACAATTTGGCACTACCACTAAGCATATAGTGATAGTGAAATATTTTTTAACCGACTACCAGTTCGTCGGGAAATTTTTTTTTTTTTTTATGTATGTTACCGCATAACTTTGGACCACGTCAACCGATTTCGATAATTCTTTTTTGCATCGGAAAGGTAGTGTCTCAGAGGTGGTCCCATACTAATCTGGTAAAGATCCGATCAGTGGATCATGAGATATATATAAAAATATTTTTTTTTTTTATGAGAGTTGAAGTCG